TGTGTGTGTGTGTGTGTGTGTGTGTATGACAAGTCTTCTCTGGCAAACTGTTTATTTTACTGTTTTATTGACACTTGTTCTGAGCTCCTGGTACCAACAGGTGCTGCTGTGATTAAATAAAACGTCCTATTATTTAAAAATAAAATAAAACAATATTATAATATTTAGCTCTGTGGCATCAGAAGTAGCCGAACAAAAGGTTTATTCGGCGTTGATTAGCTCCGCAGGAAGGATCTTCCTCCAGGTTTCACAGTCTAATGTTCAGGAAAGCYGCTAACTGTATAAAGCTGACCACTGCACATGTCACGCAGCCTTCCCCACAGTGGGCTCTCTGTGGAGCGATGACAGAGTGACTTTTCACGCAGTCACATCACGCCATCGGAATCTCCTGCAGCTGCGCAGACTCCGCAGCGTCACACCACCATCATCATCGTCATCATCATCATCCTCAGGCTTTCTGCGCGGATTTACTCCACTTTGTTTATACAGCTGCGCTTTATATAACCCACTGCGACCAAAACACTGTATATACACATTTATATGTGTATAAATGTGTGTGTGTGGATATAGCACAAGGTGATCGTCCTCTGAGCCCACCACAGCTGTAAGTAGCCTTCTGTTTCTGTGCATGTTGATGTGGAGCCGTGTGTTGCTTTGATTTTTATCTTTCCGCTCAGGACAGTGATTTCTGTGAATGTTAGCTTATGAAAAATAAAGAAATAATTTGTTTTTAAATGGACGATGGAGGGAGCAGCAGCCGACCTCTAACCTCTGCTTCTGTTTCCATTGTCTCATTGCACTGAGAAGATTTTATTTATCAGCCTTTTACATAATAATAATAATAATAATAATAATAATAATAATAATAATAATAATAATAATGTATTGAAATTCGAGCGTTTCTTCTTTTTTTTATTTGGCCTATTTATTTTTGTAAATGCTGAAAAACAGAAGCAAAACACCCAGCAGCTCAGGAGGAACAAACCTAAACACGTTGAGGAATTTCTGGCACTCAGCTGACATTATTTTCACATTACTCATGTGTTTTCATGCAGAGAGGACAGGGGGGATTGTTTTGACTTAGATACATTRAAGTGTTTATTCAATTTTTACAATATTTATACAAAAAGGCACGACTGTTTTATTTCTATAGATTGATTTCTGTGCACTGAATCTCAAACCGCGATCAAATTTGTGCTCTCTGTAGTTTGTTTATTTATTTATTTATTTATTTATTTATTTATTTATTTATTTTCATATATTTCTGGCAGTACACAGCAGCTGCTTGTGCTTTCTGCTCAAACGGGAACAGGTCGCTGACGTCACCAACGCACCACTCTGCGGCGGTTCTGACGTCACCCCCCCCCCCCCTGGCGTCATCACCACACACACAGAGATGAGTGGGTGTTCAAAATGCACCCTCTTATTAAAAAAAACATACTTTTATCCTGCTGGTGATGATGGTTTTTAGGCCGGAATTAAAACTGACCAGAGATCAGTCAGTCAAACGTGTGTGGAGACAGGAAGTGAAAGGAGAGGTCACGTGACCAAACAGCATGTGAYGGATGGGTTTGATCCAACAATATGAGTTAATGCTCATTATAGTCACAAGGTCTTGTAATGATAAACACATTAAAGYGTGTCAGTGCAGAACAAGAAGACAGAAAAAAACCCAACCTTATTTATTTCTTTGCTTCCTGTAGTTTGTGATTAGCCTGCTAGCTTCAAGGGACTGGACACAATTATTTCAGCAAAAGGTAGAGCTAGAAAGGGTAAAGATCYGCACCTTTTATGAACTGAACAGGTGTGGACAGAATCACAAGTCAACAGCTTCTCCTGCAGGAACAGTTTTCATTTAATTTTATTTATTTTTATTCCATCTTCCCAAATGTCTGCAAGTAACTCCACTGATGTAACCGTCTGCTCATGTCACACCGAACACAGATGGCTTAAAACAAACCGATCAGTGAAATCGTTCTGACGTGTTGTTTTTATAGAAAACCCTCAGATTAAGTAGGATCAGAGCAACCAGGTCTTTAGCAGTGGATTCTTTTGAGTCAGTGTGATGTGGTGTTTTTGGTGCCATATTGGTGTCTGTTGACTGAAGCAGGTTGAACACTTTGGATTGTTTGTTGTCTTTTTTTACCCATCCCTAAAGAAATAGGTTAGATTTTTTAAGTTGGCTTCTGCGGGAAGGTTACAGTTAATATCTTACCTGTTGTAGATAGTTTTTTCATGACCTATATTTACAAAGGTAGAGTTGAACTTTGACCTGGCTGCAGAGTGAACAGTTATCCTCAGATCAAGGAGCTAGGTGCCGTTTTAAAACAACTCCATTCTTAAAAAAAACAAAACAATTATTGTTGTTCATGAAAACACAATTTCTTTGACTTTTGCACCATTCTTTTTGCATTAAACAATTTAGCACAACATTGCTTATTTATTTATTTATTTATTTATTTATTTATTTATTTATTTATTTATTTATTTATTTA